GCTGACATCATACTGCTGAGAGAGTGAGTGAGTAATTATTCCCAGCACTGCACTCCATCATTTCATTCCTTTTTCTTTACCATTGCTTCCTGTGGTGCCACCACACAAATTGCTCTGTTGCTGCCATTACTGTCACGTAGGCAGCCACCTCAAAACCTGTACCACTGCCACAACTGGTGCTGGTATGCCCAATTGTGCCAATTACTTCTCTCTCTTAAAGGGCTGAAATGGTCCAGACCTTCCCTCTAGGCTCAGGGGTGTAGTACCCTTTTACTGTCCCCAGGGAAAAGCTTTCCTTGAGCAGTGCTAATGTAAAGAGGAATCCCATAATCCAGGAAAATAATGGAATCTTGTAACAGTATCGGCAGCCTTCGTAAGCTCTGTGGCAAGTCCAGGCCAGATCTGTAATGACCAAAAATAATTACTATCTGACGGCTCTTTGGCCTTAGCCTTGACCAGCTGAGGGGGTGTTAGATCCCAGCTGGCTTTTCTCTGGTGGAAAAGTCTGGTGGTTTTGGTTGCAATTCACAGGAATGCCACAGCATTTGAATACCTGGAAGAGTACCCAGTTGGAGTCCTGGCTGAGATGGAAACGCAGACGGGAAGAAAGGCTCCCAATGGGCTGTTTGTCGTCATCATGGAGTATGGGAGGAATTTCTCTGGGGCTGACAAGGATGTCTTCTACTACAACCGAGCTGTAGGAGAGGCACAGCATGCCTGGCAGTCCAACTTTTTGCACCCTGTTATTTATTATTACAAACGCCTCCCAACAGGTAAGCTTTCCTGCCTGTGCCTGCTAATTATCTGATACGAGCAAAACAGAGAGTGATGAAGATACTTCAGAGCCAAAGGGGAGGGGGGGCTGGTAGCTGAAGGCATTGTACACCCTTCTCCTCCACTTCCTTCGTGTCCATCCTCTGGGGCATCTGCCACCGCTGGGTGAGCTGAAAAAAAATCTGGGAGTTAGCAAGAAGTTTCCATCAGTCAAACTGATACGGGGAGTGGGGTGGGGGGGTTGTACCAGAGACCTCACATTTGAGACTAGGAACAAACAGGCCTGATGGGAATTTCCCCATTCCCAAAAAGAGGAACGTTGCTTCCCTTTGGCTAGCACCCTGCGTGTATTTTGCAGGGTCCCAGCGAATGAGGCTGGGTTATCGCCAAAAGAAAGCTGCTCTCTGTGGCCGGCCTGGGTCTGAGAGGTCCCGCAGCAATAGAGGCAGCCAAAGGCAAGGGTTTGAAGATGAGTGTTACATCCAGCAAACAAATACGCTCAGAATAGATTTCCTTGGGAAATGAGTGTGCTGAATCTTCATCTCCAGAAACCTAGGGTCAGGGTCCAGCCTGCCTTGCGCAGACAGAAGCGTGATGGGTAGCAGCATTAAAGCTTGAACACGGCTCAGCCCGTCTGGCAGTCCTTGCCCAGGGGGAAGGGGAGCGAAGTGACAGGAGGTACTGCGGGCAGGGACAAGGGGCAGCTGTGCAGTGGCAGGGCTGTTGAGGACAGACCTAGCAGAGGGGATTGCAAATGAAAGTAAGGTAGGGATTAAAAGGTCAGGACAAAAGCTGAAACAGCTGTCATAGCTGCTTTCCACTCCCCAAGCTCTTTTTAATGCCATTTTGATTCTGAGAGATTCCCTTAATGTTCTCTTGGCAGAGCGCGAGATGAGACTTCGGCCCCCAGATTGGCCTCTCCCCCGCCCAGATGCCATCCATCACATTGTGGAGGACTTTCTGACAGACTGGACGGCCCCAAATGCTCACATCCTGCCGCTGAGGCGGTTTTTGGAGAACTGCCTTAGCACTGACCTGCGCAATTTCTTTGCAGGTAATTTGAGCACAGGGTCGAGGTGGCAGGAGGAGGAGGAGGGATGTGAGGGACAAGCGACAGGAGCGATCTCTTCTGCAAATAGCCGAGATCTCCCTGTGGCGAGCTGGTGGTGTCACCATTAGTCACACCTCTTTGGTGCAATGCCCAGATGGTAAAAAGTGCTGGTGCTGTGTGTATGTTCCCAAATAGCCTTTGTTCTTGCTCACCACCAGAAACAGACTGCCCCAGGCACACCCAGATTTAGAGAAAGGTGTATGACATTGGGTTCAATCCCTTTTCTAGCTGTAGCTTTCCTGCCTCCTCCATTATCTAAACGTTCCTTTGTGCCATTGGGTACCAGATCTCTTTTCGGGTACTGAGGATGGGATTGCTTTCCCATGAGAAATGGGAGTGCTGGCATGTGAGAGCTGGAGAGCCTCTGCTGCCTCCTTTCCTGGTCTGAAGACTGGTCTGGGAACCTCCTGCAGAAACCCCACGTGGCACACAGAGGGAAGCGATCCTGTGGTACAAAGAAGATGCCAGAGGGCTGCGAGTTCAAATCCAGCTCCTTTTCCTCTCGGAGCGCAGACTGGAGATCCCACCCTGCATCTCCTGAGCTCTGCAGAATTAAGTCGATTACTCTGCTGCCACCCAGGGCAGGGTGCTGGGTGGGAAACTCCAGTCATCTTCCCTCATCCTCTCTGCCTTTTGTTTTCAATGAGTCCTCAAGAGTTTATGGGAATTTTTCTCTAGAGGGTACCTCTGCTGAGCCTGATTTTTGATCCTTTCCCCCACAGAGTCCTGTTTCCTCTTTGCCTTCACTCGTCAGAAGCTGCCTCCCTTCTGTTGGCAGGGGTATGTGAGAATGCAAGGGCTCGTGGGGAGCGAGGGGCTCCGGCGCCACGCGGTAGATGCCGGCCTGCTGGAGGATTACACTCCCACAGACTTTTCGGGCGACAGCCCTCCTGACAGCCACGAAGGGTCACAGGACCAGCTGCTGAGAGATCACACAATACCGGTTCGTCCGCTGCAGCATCTTGTCAACACCAAGGACGAGCTTTAACCTTTCTCGCTCCACACTGAAACCCATAGGTGCTGTTGTGACAATATTGTAATGGAGATCCACGGCAGGATTCTACCCTTTCCCGTGCACCTTTTCCATCCCCATGCCTTCCACCGACCGCGAGTTGCCAAAGACCTGCTCGGATCTTGCTGTTACAAAGAGGACCAACGTGCTCTGAAGGATAAGCGAGGGGCCAAAATCCAGTGACGCTGAGGCTCCCGCGTTGTCCTTGCAGGGTTCAGAGTTGCCTGAAGATGGTGTTTGTGTTTATCTCGCAGACCAATATCTGCAGCGACGTCCAGGGGTCACTCAAGAGAGTGCAGGAACCCCTGGGTAACTGAAAATGTCACGTCCATCTTCGGAGGTGACCTGCTCGCGCCCTGCGGCAGCCCAGTGCAGGCTCTCTGCTCCCTGGATGCTGTATGCTGCGTATACTTGAAGATTGTTTGTGCGCCGAATCCCGAAGTGGTACTCCAGGCAAACTTCCTGGTATTTTTCCTGCATTTGAGTTAGGGCAGCTGTGTGGCTTGAGTGGAGAGGGGTGTTTTTTAGTTACTGTATAGGTTAGATAATTTGTCATTTCCCAGAGAGCACTACAAGGGACCCTTCCCTCCATGAAGGAGGAGCAGCTTGCCTGGAATGCCTGGGACACAGAATTACGCTGAGTTCGGCTCCGCTGTCCTCACGTTTTTCTTCTCCCGCACCAAGCAGCCTGAAAGGTTAGCCCCTGTCTTTTATAAAGCATGACCAATATTTCTCCTATTTGCACTATGTCCCGTCAAGAAAGTTTCGAGTGGACTTTGATGTTGTTAAAATGCTTGTTCTCTTATTTGATTCCCCTCCAGTCACCTTGAGATCTTACCGGCAGTGACTGGGAGGCTGTCTGCGCTTTATTGCTCCCTCTCTCAGCCCCGTGCATTTGTCCGTCGCCTCCCTGCGGGCTCCTTCCACGGCCCTGGAGTTGCAAAGTGAGAGCGATTTTGAGCTTGACCTTAACAATGTCCCTGTGATTTCTAGCAAGTAGAGGAAGGGCAAGAGGGAATAGGCTTTTAACTCCACACATATTTTCCAACCCCTTAGCATCTAGAAGAGCATACCCCTCTGCACTTGTGCTTCCCACTACCCCTGACTCCGGGGCGGGGGGCTGTACCTACATGTCCCTAAAACTCTCCCAATCCTTCAAATTCAGCTGCTGTTTCTGTAAAGCCCCGGTTCCTACCCCACCTCTGCTTCATCCTTGGAGAGACTGGGGAGCAGAAGAGGTGGAGGAGATGACAAATGAGTTCTTGCTCCTCTTTGGGAATACTGGGCTACCCTAGCGATGCTGCTACCGGAAGATCTTGTGCATCGATGTGCAGCTGGAAAGGGGAAACGATCACCTCCTCCACTGGCGTCGATCAGCAGCCCTCTGTGGGCTTTACGTCCCACTGCCCCTGCTCCGAGGCTGGCCCAGCAATGGCTCTCGTGGCCTGTAGTTGTCTGGGTGGTGGTGCCGTGACTTGCTCCATCCTTGGCAGCGTGGGCTTTTTATTTTGGGATTGTCCGGAGGAGGAGAAGGGCCTGTGACTGAACTGGGCCGACTGGCTGTCACCAAGAGCACATGCCTTCTCTGGCTGTTTCCTCTTCCATCCTCGGATTCCCACGCGAGATTCGCAGGCTCGTTGGCCACATACATGCTGCCTTAAATTGCAATTTCTCATAGAAAAGCGAAGATTTAAAAAAAAAAAAGCAAATGGCACCTGCCAACTCTTGTCAGCATGCTCAGAGCTGGTGCCAGCAGCTCCCAGGGAGCAGGAGCTGAGCCCTCAGCCTCGCTCCCGCCCGGCACGAAGCCGTCGGAGCCGGCGGTGGGGAGGGAGCGATAATCCCCGTCCGGTTTGTAGTCGCCCCTGCCGGGAGCCGGGGTTGCAGGTTGCTCCCGGTGCTTCTTCGCTCCGTCGTGCGGACCGGCCGGCTGGCCACGGGGCCGGGTTGTGTCTTCCCAGGAAAGCTGACAGAATCGGTCCTTCGCCCGGTTCCCAGCCGACGGGAGCCGCTGGCCGCGGGCGACCGGCACAGGCAGCGGGCCGGACCATGTGCGGGAGGCGCGCCACGCCAGGCCCCGCCCCTAGCCGCGCTCGCGGCGCCCATTGGAGGGCGCCGCCGTCAATCAGCACCCAGGGCTCGCCCCGCCTAGAAACAACCTGCCGATCCCCCTAGAGGGAAAGGGATTTGAAGGACGGCAACGGGCCACCAGTCAGAGATCGGCGTTTGGTAGGCGGCGGCCAATCGGTTAGTTCCGTTATTCGCAGCCTTCCTGCGGTGGAGGCCAATCAGCGCGCGGGTGGGCGGGGGCACTAAGCGGAAGTCAGGGTGGGCGGGGGTCACCTCCGGGCCCGGGAAGGTGCGGGATGGCGGCTGGGCCTCTGGATTTTGGGGGGCGTCCCGGATCCGTCCTATGGCGCTGGGGAAAGGGGACCATCCTGGCTAGGGTGTCCTGCCCTCCGGGGCTGGAGTGGGGAGTCGGGCTTCCGTAGTTGCGGAGGCGGTTCCTGCCCTCTGGAGAAGCAGTGGGGCCCCCGCGGCCTGGGGAGGGGGGGGGTGTCCTTCGCCACCGGGCTGAGGGGGTGGAAACCGGTGGCTGGGGGCGTCCTGTCCCACTGATGGGAGCTGTTGGGACCCTCTGGCTGAAGGAGCCGTGCCCCATGGTGTCAGGGGAACGGGGATCCCGTGGCTGGGCCGGGTGGGCCCTGCCCCGTAGAAATGGGGAGGAAGCTGGAGGGCTCTATGGCGGGTGGGACCCCGCGGCCGTGGGGCTGGAGCTGCAGTGGGGTGGCAAGGGCTGGACGTAGGGGCAGCGAGTGCTCCCGTGCAGTGCCCCTTATGTTTCTATCTAGGGCATCTCCTGGCTTGGGGGCTGCCCCACCGAGGGGACTCTGCTGCAGTGGGACCAGCTGTGGGGTCCCCACGTACGTTCTTCCCCCCCCCCCCCCCGAGGATGTGTGCCCACCCCACATACCTTCTTCTCTCCCCACAGATGGCCCAGAGGCTGATGCTCCGGCGGCTGCTGTCCCTCACCCCCAGGACGCTGTCCCCGCAGGGCCCCCCGGCACCCCACAGCAGGGCCTTCAGCACCTCAGCAGGCTGCAGGAACACCTTCAACGTGCAGGACGGCAGCGACTTCCAGGACCGGGTGGTGAACAACCCCAAACCCGTTGTGGTGGACTTCCACGCACAGTAAGTTCCCCCGTGTGGCTCTTGCATCCCCCTCTGCCGTCCCACTGCAGGTGCGTCCCTTTCCTCACGTGGTGGCACTCTGGGTGCGCCAGGGAGGTGAGTATGCCCCAGGGTTTCCCAAGCTCTGGAGCTGCCGACCGCCCTGACCGCCCTGCCGAGCGTCTGGTGTTAAAAGGTGCTTCTGCCCCTATGGCACAATCCACAGAGGTTTCACTTGTCGGGTTGCACCTCTGTAGGTGTAGCTACACCCTGTAGGAGAATAAAACACAAGTGCCAGGAAGGCATTCCCCAGGGCAGCGTAGCTGCACCTCCCAAGTACTTGGGTGTCACCCTGGCCCCAGTGTTGCATCATCCTGCAAAAGACACCTCAAGAAAAAGCTCTGATATCTCCCTTTTTTAGCTTTGTGGATTAAATGTCCTCTTAAAAACGCTAAATGATGTTAACAGCCGTGGAAGAACGCTGCGCTTGGTAGGCCCCTGCACTGTCACATTGTGTCTTTCCAGTTTTCTTACGTTGCGTGCTCTTGAGGCAGGGCTCTTGACAGCAAATGCCTTTATATATTAATAACAGCCATGTGATACCAACGGCAGCAGTTGCCATCGATAAAAATGTTGTCATCCTCTCACCAGTAAAAATATTCCTAGATGTTATCTGCTGGATTAACGATGCTGCTTATCTTTGTTTTCTCACATATTTTCATAGTCCCACAGTGCTGTCACGTGAGCCTGTTGTGGCTGATTCTGGGCAAACAGAGTATGAAACAGCCCAAAAACTTATGCTTTAAATAGACCAAACTGACAAACCAAAGTGAACGTTCATGGGGATCATCCAGGGAGGAGAGGACAAATAATTGAAAGCCTGAAACCTGATGCAGAGGGAGGCTGAGGAGGAACAAAGTTTACCAGAGCTTCAATTTTAAAAGAAAAGGGCACTTAGAGCTTTAACTCTTGTTTTTCTTGAACTGAGTAAGTTCATGCCATCCTAACTGGTGCAGTTAGAGGATGCAGGGGGTGTTTTCTGTATACGGGGCCTCACAAAGTCTGCTGTTGCTGCACCTGAGTTTGGAATAGGTGGTCTGTCTTTGAACAGATGGGATGCCATTGCGAGTTTTGCAGCTAAAGGGAAATTTCTGTAAACCCTGTTATGAGTGCAGAGGGGAAGTCTATGATCTGATGATTGACATAAAGCGATTTGAGTGTGGGCTGTGGCCCCTGCACCCGGCAGCAACACTTGCTCTAGGGCAGCTTTGTGGTCAGCAGGGTCACAGCTCTGCACGTACGCACCAGCGAGGATGCAAAGCCAGGTAGGGATGATTGCCAAGATGAGGGGGCAGGAGGACCACCAAGGCTGGCAGAGCAGACTGCGGTGTGATCGAAATGACACCAAAAGCACCACAAATGCTGAATGGTGACCTCTTCTTCCACTCAGGCCCTCCCCACCACACATGCATACACAGAGAAAAAGCCCTTTGACAGCTCCTTTGTGAGAGAAACGTTTTTCTAAGCCATGGTTTGGGAATGGCGTTTCCAGGCTGGCTCTCAAATGGAATGGTGATGGTGGTAAAGGCACTGGTGTACCAGCAAGCCTTCTATGGCTGCTGCTGTGCTTGCCTCCTCTAATGTCCCCTCTCCTCTTTCTCCATCAGGTGGTGTGGCCCCTGCAAGATCCTTGGCCCCAGGTTAGAGAAGATGGTGGCCAAGCAGGAGGGGAAGGTGCTGATGGCCAAAGTGGACATTGACGATCACACGGACCTTGCTATTGAGTATGAGGTAGGAGCCAGAAGAGTGCGGACTTTCTTTTGCTGGCGGTGCAAAGAAGGTTCCTCCCTGGGGAGAGGTATGCCTGCACGGCAGTGATGTTGGTGGGGAAGGGAAGCCCAGTGCCTACAGGTTCCTGAACCCTCAGGTCACTCATTAGTAGGTGGATTTCGCTGCTTGGCTCTCCTCCAGCTCTGCTGCTCGTGTTCAGCATCCCCACTTCTAATTCTGCAGAAAGGTGTCCTCTAAGCCTTGCAGGTGTCTGTCAAAGTAAATGCTTGTCTAGCTTCGAGGAGCCTGCGGTTTTACTGTGTGCATGGGCTGCCCGGGTGCAGGGCAGGAACGTGAAGTAACAAGCCCTAGTCTGCTCTGCTCTTGAACATGGTTTTTTGCGCAGCCAGCCTGTCGTTTCTTACCCTTCCTTGTTCAGTATTTCCTGATGGGTGATAATGTCCTGTCCTTCAGTCGCAGCATAAGCAGACACTGTGGGTTTTGTTTGGACAGGTAGAAGCCAGGTCGGAGAACACACATAAGCAACAGGAGCACGCGTCCCGCTCTTGACAAGCGCAGACCTTGGTGCTTACGCTAGTGTTTTACACGCCTGTTGGGTGTGTTCCCTGTGCTGCCTTGCTCCCAGGAAGGAGCAGAGTGACTGGAGAAGGCCACAGCTTTGGTTTACATGATTCATTTATTTTTACCCTGTCAGCGATTGGGTAGTTTAAGAAATGCAAAAACTCCTCTGACTGTGCTTGCCTGTGTTGTCTCTCCTTGTAAACAACAACTCAGTCTATGAAGTTGGGGCATCCTGCTGCTGTGTTTTACAGGGAAGAGAGTGCTTAATTTTCACTCGCATATCACGCAAATGGATCTGCTCCCCTCTGCAGATGAAGTCCTGCTCCCAGGGCGCAGGCTAGCACAGGAAGCTCCTCAAGTTGCCTAGCAAAGTGTGAACCATCTCCCGAGCGAGCTGTCATTTTGTTGAGCCTGGAGGAGATGCTCTGTGCCGTTCCCACACCCTGCTGAGCTGGAAGGAGAAGGAAGCAAAAACAGCTTGTTCCCTCCCACTCTTTCCCAAAGAGACCTTTCTGCCTGTGCTGTGGTGGCGTGTCTACCCAGCTGGTGCCCACAAATGGGACTTGCAGCTTCCACAAGCTGAGCGTGAGAGCCTCCGGTGCTCTCCTCGGTGGTGGCGTGCTGGCGGATACGCCCCAGGTCAAGGAAGATGGCTGCTGGCTCCTGAGCAGGGCTGTGTGTTGCAAGCCCGAAGGCTGCGTAGCTCGAGGGTGCTGGTGAGAAGTTGAAGAGGGTGAGGTTGTTTCAGTGGTGGTCAGAAAGTGCATAAATCCTAACAGATGCAGGCAAGGCTCTGGTAGCAACCACCCTAAGGAGTAAAGGAGATGAGAACAGAGATTATTAGCTTAGCTCTTATATTGTTCCAAGCCTTCCAGTAGATCAAATTAGCCGGGATTACAAGAGGATAATCTCAGAAGGTTGGAAAATGGCAAACAAGAGTGTGTGCATGTGAAGAAAGGTCTTTAAAAAGAGGCTGAATGTTCCCGAGTTGTGCGGGTTTGACATGCCGCGTGTGCTCTCCCAGTAGATGATGAGTGGGCAGCTGCACAGCCAGCTGTGTACATGCATTTGTCTGCAGGGTCTGCCTGTCCTGCAGCCGTGGTGGCATAGGTGCAGGCAGGGTTGAGGCTGCAGGCAAGGGCCAGCTTCCAGCAATTCATTTTGGAGCCTTATATACAAACATGTTGAAGTTTTTGTTTTGCAGGAGGGCCTGGGGATCGTCGCTGTGTCCTCCACTCTTGAGTGGTCCGTGTATCTGATCTTGACCGTTATCCCCATGGTTAAAACCCCATCTCTAGGCAGTGTCTGTGAGTAGGATCGCTGCAAACGGGTAGGGGTAAAGAAGAAATTTTTGCTTTGATCTTCATAGTTTGGGGCATCCTTTTCAAGGCAGAAGTTTGGTTCATGTGCTGAGTGTGTGCTTGGTTTTGCTTCGTCTTATGGGAGGTTGCCATGTAAGGAGATGTGAGCATGAGGGCTGATGGGAAGACACCAAGTCAAGATCAAAGAGGGACCAAAGGTAGTGTTTGGGAGAGATCAGGAAAACCAAAGGTGGTATTTGGGAGGGATCAGGGAAGATTTATTTGTTTTAAAGCCATTCCATTGGGGCTCAGATGTCTGCAGGCTCAGAAAGTTTTTGCTTGGGGGGTTTTCGGCATCCATGCCACCCCTAGAACTCCTCCACTAGCTGCCAGGAAGTCTCCTTCCATCCATGTTTATTCCCCTGCCCACACAGCCCCTGGCTTGCTGCCCAATTGCACAACATCCTCTTCAGCAGCCTCCTTGGCTGGGGGGAGGCAAGGCGAGGGGGAGAGAAGCCCTGGAAGAGCCGAGGAATGCCGGTGCATTCCTTCACATGCGCTGCAGTCTGCCCTTGGCTCCCAGCCGTCCCGGCTTAGCACGAAGCAGGGATGCGTTTCCTGGGACTAGAAACATCCCCGGCGCCCTTCCCTGTCCAGTTATGCCCAGCACAAAAGTTCTTTCTCTAGGGATTCCTCTTTTTATCTAACACATTTCATCTCTGGTTGTGGCCTTTCTCCGCTGCTCCAGCCCGCTCCTGACCTCTTGCCCTGAGAGCAGAACGGCAGAAGGAATACTTTTGTTTAATCTGCTGTCTCTTAAATTCTTTAGATTCATCTCTTGCCTTGGCCTGTTGCCTGCACGCATGGCCACTGGGAAAGGGCAGCCCCTTCTCCGGCTGCTGCGGGTGGGCAGCTCTGGAGAGCTGCTGGATACAGGGATGGTTGTTCATCAGCGGAGCTCGGTCCTGTGTTACACCTCGTTCTGGAGCCTGGGTGAAATCCTTCCCCCTGCTTCACTGTGTGGCATCTGAGCTTGTATAGAAGCCCCAGTTTCAGATGGCAGAGAATTCCCTCGATACGGGTGCTGCCAGGAATAGCCTGGATGGCCACGTTTATTTATTTATCTCTGTGGTCTGTACTGATCAAAAGCAGCCTGACTTTTTCTCTAGAAATGCTCTTGAGGGAGGAGGAGGGTTTATTTAGGTTCAGTGCAGATGGGACCCAAAAAAAAGAAGGGAAGAAAAAAAAAAAAAAAGGCCCCAACTTTGCATTCTAGAAATTCCCGTGACATTTTCTTCTCAAGCAGCAAAACAAAGTATGTGCTCTGTAACTTGGTGTTAGCTGCTTCTCTGTAGCGCTTCGAAGAGTCGCCTGTTCCTCACCCAGGCCATAATGGCCTGATGCTTGCTGTTGCTGGTTGGGCGTGCTGGTTTTTTGGTTGGAGCTGGGGCAACTCTGCTTGTTATTAACCCACTTTGCAAACCAGAGAGGAGGCTCAGTGGAGCTCTGCCCTTCTCGGGGAGAGACCAGTTGAATGCAGTGCTGGTACTGTCCTTTCTCACCCTTAAAATCACAAGGGAGCATGTTGGTGGCACCATCACCAGCGCTGGGGCCTGGAGCCCTCCGGATCTGCTCCCACCAGTCACTAGGAGGAGCTGAAGATCGTGCGTTGCAGCAGCCCCAGCGCTCCCATCCCTTCAGATGAAACTGCACAAGCCCTGGAGAACAGGCTGCGAGGAGCCACGCTGGACTTGCCAGCCGGGACCCAGTGGGAAGGGAAGCACAAAATGTCCCTTTCATCTCATGGGAGAAAAGCTAGCCCTCTGGAGGGTTTCCTGAGGAAGGATTTGCAGATCCTTGCTGGCAGCGGGGCTGGCAGCACCTGTGGGAAGGCCCAGCAGGCTAGCGGGGAGGCAGCAGGTGACATAAGGACAGGACGTGTTTTGAGTGGGAGGCTTTGCAGAGATAAGGGCACCGAAGCTGTGGGGTCAGAAACACAACCAGATCTCTCTGCCAACGCAGCTCTCCAAGCTCTGGTTGCTCCTTCCCTCAGTTTTGTCCCAGGGGTCTCTTCTGTCACCAGCCAGCCATCAAGTCCCTGGGGAGCATTGTCATCTCCACCGCTGTTCTCTTGGATAATTCCCAGAAAATTTTGTTCTGGGCTAAAAAAGCAGTGCCCAGAGCAGCGCAGCTGCCTGCTGTCTCTGGTCAGAGGGACTTTTTCACTTCTCACCTAATCATCAGGGTTCTGTAGTGGACAGCCACTGGTGTGTGACCAGCTAAACCACTGAAAACAGGAGCAGAAAAGGAAAGATGGGTTGGAGGGGGTTGTCATTACCATGATAAGATGGAACAGGAAATCTGCCTGTGCAGTGATACGGGGGGGTGAACCTCCTCCAGTTCCAGTCCTGTCTGGAGAAGAACATGGTCCAGTCTGATACCACCCTGGCCATAAAAAGTCCAAAGGTTGTCATGTCTGACAGGTGTCCTGGTAAAAGACTGGGTTTATTTGCTTATGATAGGACAAAAGGGAAGGAGAATAGGAATTTGTACTGGAGAGTGGAGAAAAGCTTTGCCTTGGTTTTATATTAGCTTTGGTTTTGTCTTTAAAATTTTGGGTCTGTCTTAAACTCAAAAAGCTCAGCCTTTACTTAAGCAGTGTGACGTAAGTCAGTGCAGAGATGAGGCCACAGGGAGAGGACGAACACGGAGCTCAGCTGGCCTGCGTTTTGTGGGTGGACATATTACCCTTGAGCAGTGTATACTCAGCTCCCTTGTAGCCACTTCTTCTGTAGAGCTCCATTTGGGGCCTGGGTGCAGATGGGCTCCCCGCAGCCTCTGCTCACCTGTGTCTCCCTATTTCTCTTGCTCCCAGGTGTCAGCAGTGCCAACCGTGCTGGCTATGAAGAACGGAGACGTTGTGGATAAGTTTGTGGGGATAAAGGACGAGGATCAGCTGGAGGCATTCCTCAAGAAACTCATCGGAGCCTGAAGTACAAGGGTGGCTGTACCCCTGCCTCTGGACACGTCCATGTTGTGCATTCCTTGCCTGGGAGAGCTGAGGGGCACATGAACTGTCTGCCTTGTACAACCTGGGGTTTTCTTCTGGTTTGGGGTTTTTAGGAGATGGACAGTGTTGTAACCCTTCCCTCCCACTCCCCCTTCTCTTGAGCAGCAGTAGTTGTAAAGGGCACAGAGGAGTGGAGCTGCTTATTCTCAAAATGGGGAATGCGGCTGGAATTAGGAGCCTGTGTTTATCAGCAAAGAGCTGACGTGCGGTGCTGCTGCTGAGTTAAGAGGAGGAATGTTTTTCTCTTTGCCTAGCATCTGATAGCCCAGAGCAGAGGGCAGCTGCTCCCTGCAAGATGTGGGTACATACCTGCCCTGGGTGGGTTTGTTTAAAGCTGAGAATGCCTCTGCCTTGTCTCTGAAACCTGTCTCTTTGTCCCTCTGTCCTCGTGTTGCTGGGACAGATACAATTCCTCTACCAATCCATGGGCTCCTGTCATGATTTTATAAGAGAAAATAGAAGTAGTTTATGGATCTCCTTTTGTAGGTCTGTAATAAAGAGAACTTTATTGGTCGCTGCTGTCTGGCTGGAGAATAAAACTTGATTCTCAGAAATCACAGGAAAGTCCCTTTTCTGTCCAGAGAGGTGAGAGGGAGTATCAGCAGCACAGTGGCTGGTTTCTAACGATGGGCTGGGAGAGTGCAGGTTGTCACTTGATTCTTACTAAAAGGTAATGTGCCGAAAAACAAACAAGTGGATAACTTTCACAGGGCTTTCAGTGCTGCTTCTAGGACCCCCTCTGGGTGCTGTGGGATGCCAGAGGAAGGACATGGCTCATTGCAAACAAGGAGCCTGAGGTGTGCTCACTCCCCGCCCCCCCCCCCCCGTGCTTTTCTCACTCCTTTCCTGCCCGAGGAGCCTGAGAGCCTCCTCCTCCCTTGCGTGAATGATTAAATCTGCTCATGCAGGTGAGCCCTGCCAACAGGCGGTCTTTTGACTTCAATTGCCCTGACCTTTAGACTAAGGGAGGCAGTTGTGTGCTCAGTATCACAAGCAGCCTTCAGCTCTTCCCTTCTCTTCCTCCTCCTCCCCATATACACCTGTTTCCAGTCAACCTGGCTTCTAAGTGCTCCTGGCCTCCTCATGCACTTGTAGGCAGAGTACAGCACCAGGGCTGATGCCTACTGTAATGCTTAATTCCACTTTGCTTATCTAAGCTGCATGAGAACATTGTAAGTGCTTAATAACCATGTACAAGCTGCTTTTCTTTTTTTCATTCCCAGCTTCTGTTTCCTTCAATCACTCTTAACCCTGCTTTGGCTCTGCTCCATTTCACCTCCCTGGCATAGGTTGCTATGAGCGGCGAGGCAATTTTTTTTTCTGCACCTTTGCAATAACAATTTATGACCTTTGAAAGAGCAGGGGAGTGGCGATCCAAGTCCTGCGTGTCCTTCCGCAACCGCAGTGCTGCAGGCATCGCTGCTCCCACCTATTTCCATTGCCCCTGGGGCCTGGGCAGCAGCACAAGGTGGTGCTGGTTCTCTGAGACGGACCTCCCCGTCCAGGCTGGGCTGATCCCACCCCGGTGTGCTGCTAGAGGTGATGTCACTTGGATGTAACACGGTAAAGAACTGTTGGTCAGTTGTGATCAGCAAAAAACAGCATTTTATTTTATTTGGGAGACCACAGAAGCTATGCTGCTCATGTCCTGCTCGTGTTTCAGGCTGGGCAATTTGCCCTGCAGTTTCAGTGTTCCTGCTCTGTAAACACTTCTAGTAAAGACTCCCCATTTTCCTGCATGAGCAGGAAAAGTAGGGGAACAGCGTCACATACCCGATAATAGTCAATTTTCATGCTTCACCATCCTACAGAACAGGAAAAAACACAGTGACTTTGCATTGTGTAATGAAGAGGCAGTATAAATTAGCTATTTTATCACTTCCTTCTAAGGAAAAGTGGAGCTGAGGTGCCATTCAGCTATTAAAGTGCCAGCACGCTTTAGGGTGCATTATGTGAAAGCCCCAACTGTTTCTTTGAGATAAATGCTTAAGACCCACCTACATGGTGCCCTGTGGAAATCCTTCAGAAACAGCGTAACTGGTGGAGAGGAGGAGGGGTTTGGGGGCAGCTTGAGATTCCTCGAGCGCTTTGCCCAGTTTTCACCACAGGACAGGGCTCAAAGCACAAGGATGTTTTCTGTGGCAGGATCTTAATTCAGCTCCCTGTTTGCTGACTGCTGGGGGAGGCTTCAGGGATTCCCACAGCTGCTGTTAGTAACAGAGGAGGTGCAAGTGGGAAGCACTACCAGCCCTGTATTTACTTAGCGGTTAAAAGAGGGGTTGCACAGCAATTTTCATGCCACCTGAATGTGATGTTGGTCTTTCCTGAGAGAAGAGAGCTGAAGCAATAGGTAATTCCTCAGCAGTAGCTGCTTTCTCCATGTCAGCTGGGAAAATGTTTCCTCTCTGCTCACTCCAGCAAGGATGCAGTTGGTTTTCCCTTATGGAGTTAAGCACATCGAATGCTCCTCTGATCTGTTAAGCATTTGCTCTCTCCTTTCCAAGGCTGCCTATATTACAGCAGCTTTCTCAGCTTCTGGTGTTCCTGGTTGCTATTTTAAGAGGACATGGTGGATGGTGCCTTCCCGAGGGGAGCAAAGCTCAGCTAAACCCGCTTCTCCCTCCCCAGGTACGTTCTGAACCTGACATAAGGTCTGAACCCTTCCAAAGGTCAGGTGCAGTGCTTGTGTCCTCACAGTTTTGTCCAAGGCGCCCGATTCCAGGCAAGCGGAGGTTTTCCTTTTGTTTCTGTTGTCTTTACACTTGCATCAAGCCCTAACGCAGCTGCTCCTTTCCCCAGGACGTTTGTGCCTGCCTGCTGAACTCCACGTTCACCTCCCACTGCTCCGGGCCACGGCGAATGCCTGCAAGGAGGGAGAGCTGCGCTACCTTCTCTGCTAGGGGTGCTACGCCGAGACCAGCTTCGAGTGCTGGAGGAGGATGGAAAATTCAGGTTGCCTGGCTTGCAGCACACAGGGGGCTGTGTAGAGGTGGTCCTCTACAGCTTCGAAGGGGACAGTTTTGGCCACGATTGGCTCCAATGAGGTCTGGCCTCAGCAGCCCGGCCACCCAGCGCTGACAGTAAATCCTTTGCTTTATCAACATACGATGTGATTCCTCCCGTGCAAAGAACAAAACAAAGACCGGCTCCATGTCAACAGGGAAGCGGCCGCCACTGACGCTGCCATAGGCAGGGCCTTTCACCAGCCCGGCCAGGCTGTTTGCCCTAAACAGTTTGTTAATCACTTTGAGCTTCCCCCCGCAAGCCCACCTCATTTTTCTCAACTAAGTAATTATTGCCGATTCTGTCCGAATCCTATTAAATTCTCCAACCCTGCAAGGCTGTTAGCAGCAACGTTAAGCTCAGCGTTGTTCAAAACTATTGCTGAATTGCGTCAAGTGCTCGCTCTGAGTTTCAGCTTCCTGCAAGCTAAGGAATAACAGCTTGCACAGCTGCAATATCCTAAGCAATAAAAAGATAAGATAAAAACTACCATAGGCTTGGCTGCCAGACCAAAACCAAGCCAGATCACCTGTTACACTGTCCCGGCCTCGTTACCTGCCCCTGCAACCCACCCAGGCTCACGTCCATCACCACACACGGGTGCTTTCCTGCCGTTCTCAAGGAACACGGGGCGCGCTTGTGAGCTTCGTGGTTTCTCTGCCTCTGCAGCTTTGTAACTTCAGCAACACTTTCCCTCTTAAAACCTTTCTCAGACAAAAAACAGAGGCTGCAACTCATGGCAAGAGCATAGGTGCAGGCTGGGTGCGATGCCGGAGGTGGCTGCTGTGCTGAGCCATGCCTCGTTGCTTTTTTCCTCACCGTGCGTTCTACCATCGAGGGAAGGATGGAGGCAGGAGCAGCAGGGGAAACCCTGAATTTCTTACACCCAGAGGAGCCAAATGGGTGGAAAGCAGAGACCTCCAGAGAGCTTGAAAATGTAACACCCCACATCCCAGCGGGGATGGAGCAAGGAGAAGCCCTGTGGCTGCCTTTCTGGTGGCAAGAGGTCCCCCCAGGCCCTGAAATGGGGGAACCGGTCCTGTAAGGAGGGGCCGGAGAAGGATGCTGGAGCTGCTCCTCGTGCCCAACATCCCGCCTGCCCGCATCGACTTCCTAGGCCCTCATAATCCAAAGAGTCGCAATAGAAATGCACTAAAATTTATTGGGTTTTCTCCATAGCCTGCAGCTTCTGTGAAGTAATGTCCCTGCACATATATATATATATATATATATGTGTTTATCCGCTCACATACTTTTGTTCTCTCTTGTGGAGAGTGCCAGGAGCTTCTGGGGCTCACAGATGTCCCCAGCAGCTGTAGCTGCCGACAGAATTCCAAGGACAGGAGCCAGCCTGCTCGCTTTCCCACTCGGGGGAAGGCTGAGCTCCCGGTACCCTTCTGGGCACACGCCGCTCATCCCTCTGCTGCTGAAGGCACCCCGGCTCCATCTCTCCTATGAGCGGAGTGGTTCAGCAATACTGAAAACCAGGAAATTTTTGCAGCGCTAGTCCTCAGAAACATCCACGTCAAGTTGTCCAGAGGGTACAAAATGCACAAGATTTTGGTGGTTTCCGGAGACGATGGTGACCTCTGGCCGCCCGCGCGGTTGCAACTCCTCCACGTCGGTCCCACGCAGCTGGGAGCGAGAGGGTGTTTGTCCCGGCCGGTTCTGCACGCACAGCTTCATGGCCTCAGGACCGAGAGGAGCTGCATCTCTCGAGGTTGCTTTCTTGCTCCGTCACGAGGCAATAACGTTTCCCCGCGGGGCCCGTAGCCGTGGGCGCAGGGACTTGCGTGGCTGCTTTCCTTGCAGGTGGCTTTAACCGCAGGGCCGTGCCACACCGCAGCCAAGCAGGTAACGAACGCCCTGGGTCTGGCTAGCACAGCGGCTCCGATGGAGCGGTGTACTGCATGCAAGCTCCAGCACGCCCGCCGGTATTTGTAAAACATTGTTTTGCTTTAATCTGGCTTTTTAAGTAAATTGTCAAAGCCCTTTCTGTTCACTAGGAACCTTTTTCTTTTTTTTTTTTTTTTTTTTGACTGCAAAGTTTCATCTTTCAAAGCTTGGCTAGTTTTGAGTGATGCTGAAAAACCCCATTGGCAGTGGCTTTTTGTTCCGTGCTGGTATTGTTCAAGCAAAAGTGGTTGTTTTCTTTTCGTCCTGGCATAGCTCAGGAGTGACTGCATGGTCTGAGCTCAAACTTTCTAAAAATACTCACCCGTGAGGAGAGATCCAGCACGGCAGTGTTCAGACCCAGAGATTAACGCCTTGGAAAGGTGCAGTGGTCTGAAAAAGAAGCCGGTGGCAGCGTGGTGCCAACTCGGGGCACTGAAAGCCCCGGAGCTGCGACGCGTGGCAGGCAGAGAGGATCTGCAGAGTGCTGCGGGTCTCTCTGCGACGCCGAGACCCAGGTACGGGGGAAATCCACGCAGCGCCTGCAGAACCAGCCCAGGGGAACTACTGTTTGTGGGAAGGCTGTCGGGTGATTCAGAAGTCATAAAGAAAAGCACTTCTCGCTGCTTGGAGAAGCAAGGGTGAACCATG